ATTCCTGTGTAATACACTTGACCCTGAACAATAAGAGTTTGAACTGCAGGGGTCCACTTATACGCAGATTTTTCTTCTGCTTCTGCAACCAAGAGACAGCAAAACCAACCATTTTCTTCCTCCTCAGCCTAATTAACCTGAAGATGATGAAGATGAAGACCTTTGGGAGGATTCACTTATGTTTATGAATAGTAGGTATGTTTTTTTCTTTTCTATGATTTTCTTCGTAACAGCTTCATTTCTCTAGCTTATTTTATTCTAAAAGCATAGTATATAATAATGCAACACATACCAACTATGTGTTCATCGACTGTTTATGTTATCAGTAAAGTTTCCAGTCAATGGTAGGCTATTAGTAGTTATGTTTGGAAGGAGTCAAAGTTATACTCAGATTTTCAACTGCACAGGGATCAGAGTCCCTAACTCCCACAACATTCAAGAATCAACTGTAATTAACATTTATTTACTAAATATAAACCATTTACTATAAAAGTTAAATAGAAGATCCATTTGCATAACAAGTGCAATTTGTAACAATGTAATTATAGAGGAAAATGCAACATGTTAACTTAAAAATCTAATTTCTTATTTATATTAATACAAAAATATAATGTAGAATTTCAGGGATCATAAACGAATTTTTTTCAGAGAATACTGCTTGAGATTGAGAACTAACTTCTTAAATAACTGAATTCTAAACTAAAGAAATTAAATTTAAAAAATTAATTTATACATAAATATACATATTTTAAACTGCTCTTTTATGATTAAAAATACGTAATCTTACTTTTTTTGGTTTTTTTTGGAGATAGAGTCTCGCTCTTTCATCCAGGCTAAAGTGCAGTGGTGCCATCTCAGCTCACTGCAACCTCCACTTCCTGGGTTCAAGTGATTCTCCTGCCTCAGCCTCCCAAGTAGCTGGGATTACAGGCGCCCGCCACCATGCCCAGCTAATTTTCGTATTTTTAGTAGAGATGGGGTTTCACCATGTTAGCCAGGCTGGTCTCAAAATCCTGACCTCAGGTGATCCACCCGCCTTGGCCTCCCAAAGAGCTGGGATTACATGTTTGAGCCACCACGCCTGGCCTGTAATTTTGCTTTTTAAAATCAGTAAGACCACCAAGAGAAATGAGAAATTTACTATCAGAAGTCTTACCTTGATTGTCATTTCGAAGATGATTTTTAAGTATCTTATTTTTATGTTCCAAAATTTGTTGTTGAATGCTATGCATAATAAATGTAATAAATAAAATTAGTATTTTAATAGTGATATGAAAAATATTTACCAAACATATTAAATTCTTAAAGCATTTCAGACAATATCAGAGCTAATATCAGAACTCTAATGTCCAATACACTTTAAAATTTTAAGCTGTATAAACTTATTAAGCTTCTAATTAAAGAAGAAAAACAGGAAGTACTCATAAACTGAGAAAAACATAGCTCAGTAAGTTAATTCTAGTCAGCTTAACAGCCTGGAAACTGTCCTGCACTCAGAGTAAGTCCTCGCTCTGTGACCAATAGGTATTTTGTTTTCAGACCATTTGCTTCTCTTAGGCGCCACGGCTTCTTCTAAAAAACAAAGATTTTACTACTTGACTTCACTAGGTTGTTAGGAGGATGTAATGAGGTAAAATGTTTAAATGTTCAGAGAAATAGTAAAGCAATGGAAAAATTTATTCTTGAGCTGCAGTGCTGGAACAATTTTGGAATCTCAAATAAAACCTGATGAGTGTTTTTTCATAGGTTCTAATATTTGAATGTCACAGTTTTCAGAGAATATTATTAAGTGCTAATTTTGGTTATTAGTTCTATTCTTTGTGGCTTATAGTTCAGAGCATTTTAGCTAGCTCATAACTTATAACTAAATTTATATATAAATATATTATTGTCTCATTAAAACATATAACCTAATTGTCCCCTATTACTGAGCTCATCAATCACACCAAGGGCAGAAAACTAATAGATGTCAAAACCTGGCTGGGACAACTACCATTCCTTCTCTACCTCCTCAAACTCAGAGCCAGCAGGTCTGTGTCAGAGGCTGCATCTTCTGGGTCCTCTCCGACTGACACACAAGACAAAGCCTTGCTTGTATTGTTTTTCAGTTCCATGAAAGAGATGCAAGTTGATGTTTCTTCATTTCCAAGTCATGTACTAACAACATATTTGCATGTAACATCCCATATGCCACTCAGCTCTGTTCTCATTTCACAGATCACCTTACATGAATACTTCTATAATGATCATAATAACAATTTCCATATTGGGTGACTCCTGTTTTGGTTTGACTCACATTTCCTTGAAGCTAGTTAACAAATAGTCAAATGACCTTCTGGGGACCATGCAACATGTGGAATGCTTTCTGAATTTGTGTGCCATCCTTAGGCATCAGGCATGCTTATCTGTTCTGTATTGATCCAATTTTAGAATATGTGCTGCTGAAACAAGTATAAAGCCCTGTTTTATACACGGATACTCAAAAGTCATGGATGAGGCTTAGCTCTGTTAAATCCAAATTACCTACTTTAGATACAGAGAATTCTGTTGAATGACTTCCTGTGAGGTAGAATTTTAAAATATTTTAAAAACTTGAGGTGGAGATGCAAAGAGCCTGACAGGTTTTCACTATTATGGAAACACATTACTTGAGGGGCCAACTCCAAGTTGGTGCTCATTACTCTACTGAAGGATAATGTGGAACATTCTGCTATCTAACAAAAGGCTACACGGGACAGAAAAAAGGCTCAAGGTACAGATGTGACAACAAAAGGTAAAGGGACCTCTGCTCTCTTCCTGCAACATTATTTGAACATCCCTGACTGTTGAGTGCAATCCAACTAATGTTTGCTAGAGAACAGATGGACACTGGTCTCAAAGGATAACATACCATGAAGGTATAGGCTAGGCCAAGCTAAGACGTGGGCTACGAATAAGGTTTTTAGTATTAGGGAGAAGGTCAATTTACTCACTACGTGTGTGGGTAAAGCTAGGAGGCCTTTCTGCCAGAGCAGGGTGCTGGGAACAATGGCTGAGCCTATCTATGTACATGAACTAAAAAACACTGTAGCTGTGGACACTGTGTATGAGTCATCATGAAGAGAGAGGGATCTGAATCAGTATGGGCATCCTGGTGCCAAAAGTCAATCATTACCAGATTGCAGGACAAGTTACAATGGCAGCAATACAGGAAGTGAATCAATGGAAACAACAGAATGACTAGAATGGCCTTTTCCCCCATTCTTCTGACTTGTAAAGCAAGATTGTCTTCCTTGGACTTAGGGAACCCCTTAGCTTTTTGAAAAATCCAAAGCAGGAAGGCATAAGAGATAGCCCCAGGGAATAAATACAAGATTTTCTGCTAAACTGGACATTTCAAGACCCAACAACTAATTTGGAAAGTCAGGCCAGCCATGGTGGCCTTTGCGAGGCCGAGGCAGGAGAATCACTTGAGCTCAGGAACATGGGCAACATAGTGAGACTTTGTTTAAAAAAAAGAAGAAGAAAGAAGAAAGAAAAAAAGAAAGTAAAAGATGTGACATTATTTATGTCTCACATACAAGAGTAATACTTGGAATGAAATGAACAACACTGAGATCCCTAGGGATAAAGGTCTTCAAAGATTCTGAAAGAATCTTGCACTCATTGCTACTTCTAACTAGTCTAGCTTTCTGTTTGATTTCTGGCTAAAAAGTGGACTAACTTGTTGCCATTCCAAACTACTTCAATCAAACTATGAACTCTCACCTAATGTATAAGATGCAATATTTGTAATTATTTTAAACCTTAATGTAGTATTAACCTAATATAAGCATATACCTTCTCAAATCACAACAAACAGCATAATCCTCAGCAGTTTGGCCAAACATGTCTTGAGAAAATATATTTATATTTTGCTGAAGGAGGAGGCTGACGATACTTGATGAGCTATGCTGCACAGCAAGCATGAGGGCTGTTCTAAAATAACAAAGAAATAACAGCACTCAAGAACTTTAATAAAGATATTTAATTAGCAAATTGGATACACTTTACCGATTTCATATCTTGCCTCTCAGGATAGACATAATAACCATTTACATGTACTAGCTTATGTGTATAAGCATCTTGGGTGCTCAAGTGTTCATCTTGGTAAATTACCACCAAGGCTAGAAGACAGGGACAACAAGGAAGCTTCTTGTCCCACTGGGATATGACATAATACAAGCTCTTAATTTATAATCCTTTGATGGCCAAGAAACTGTGCTAAGGTCACTTATCTAAAGTAGGCAAAGATTTAGATGAAGATTTCCCCATTGCTTTCCTAGTCTGATATATTGTAATTCAAAGTCAGCTAGGAATCAAACAAGTAAGAGCTATCTGCAGGCTGAAAACAACAGCAACAACAACAATAATAGTGATAGTAGTTGTTGTAAACTGAAAGTTAAAGTCTATGCTTTATAAAATTAAGAAAATACAAAACCCCTTTAGTTATTATGATTACAGGACCAAAAACATCAGATTACAAATAACAGTCTATAAGAAAAGATGAATCCTACTATATACTGTTTTTGATGTTGCTCAGTCCAAATAACTGCTTTTCTACCTAACTGATTATTTGTATTATTTTTTACTATATGTCAATAATTATAAGTGAATCTTATTAACATTTCTTACTTGAGTTACCACTCCAGAACACTCAGGTTTTTAGGAAATAAACAAAAAACAAAAAAAAAAAAACAAAAACTATTGCACCTTCTGAAATTGTCAACGGCATGTATATTTGCCTGGTTCTTCAATAAAAATTCCACCATTTGCTGTCTCCTAGAATTTATAGCAAACAAAAGTGGAGTGTTTCCCTCCTGTAAGAAAGTAAAAACAATTTATAATTCACAAAATTACATATTTCTCAACTGAACTAAAAATCTTCTATAAGATGCTATGAACTTAAACTTACAATATAGAAAGAAAGTAAATGCAAAGCAGTCCCTTCCTTTTCACTCCTCTGTGCTTTCCCACACACTGCCTTGCAAACACCCCTCCTCTGCCTCCCCACATTAACTTCGGTCATCTCCAAAACTCACTTTATTTACCAGTCCCAAAAATCCTTGCTTCTATCTCAGCATTTAGCACAGTACATTGTAATTATTTCATTGTTTCCCACTGAAACCAAGAGCTTCTTGAGGACAAGGGCTGTATCTTTTTTCTCTATAACCCTAAAACCTAAGACATAGTAGCAAATGCTTTAAGTTTTTAAAATAAATTAATGATTTAAATTATCTCTAGAGCAGTGTTTCTTAAACTACATTTCAAAGAATATTTGTTTTACCAGAAGAACTGTACCCCAACGAAAAGGTTCCATGATCATCTGCATTTGAGAAGTATTACAAAACTGTATTACATGGCCAAAAATCTAGAAATCCCTTGAACTTTGCCTAATCTCAATTTGACAATACTTTTTGTGGCAAACATTAACACTTTAGGAACTAGAGTTTCAGGGACACAGTTGTCAGAGCTTTGCAATACAAGTGTAGGTTTCCTCTGGGTGGTACAAACTTGCTTGATTCACTTGCATCAATGGTGTCAGGATGTCAATGTCAGGCACTCCTGATGCAAAGGGGCTACTAAAGAAATGAGCTCTGAATTAAGAGAGATTGGCTTCAAATGCACTTATTTTCCTTACTATTAAATAGTGCATGGGATTTTTCCTAATACAAGAGGATAGATTTTTATCTTAACTTAGAAAGTTCAGTATGTTCTGTGTAATACAGACCAGTTAAAAATTTTTGAAAATAAATATTAAAAAGCAAAGCTCAGTAAGAAATTTTATTCTCAATTATAATGATAATCCTGGGATGCTAATGCAACTTTACTTTTTAAATCCATTTGTATTGGTTTCCATTTAAATTGCTATTTAACATTATTTTTTTACTGTAGGCAAAATATAAATCAGAAATAAAAATACAATGGCTTCTCAATAAAAGTTCTAATACTGATGTACAGGGCTTATTTCTAGCATAACAAAAGCCAGTAAGTTATTTGCTTTTTTGTTGTTTGTTTTGAGACGGAGTCTCACCCTGTCGCCCAGGCTGCAGTGCAGTGGTGGCATGATCTCCCCTCAATGCAAGCTCTGCCTCCTGGGTTCACACCATTCTCCTGCCTCAGCCTCCCAAGTAGCTGGGACTACAGTTGCCAGCTAATTTTTTGTATTTTTAGTAGAGACAGGGTTTCACCATGTTAGCCAGGATGGTCTGGATCTCCTGACCTCGTGATCTGCCTGCCTCGGCCTCCCAAAGTGCTGGGATTACAGGTGTGAGCCACCGTGCCCAGTCGTCACTTGCATTTTTAAGGGACATTGCTGAGAAGAAAGATATAATGTCTGCAATATTCATAATCTATCCACTTCTCAGCAGGCATAACCTAAAAAAGGCTTCTAGGCATTCTTATGAGAAGATGACTATTTGTGGTATAGATATAAAAAAAGAGTTAAACTTCTGAATTCTAAAATCCAACTCTATAATTGAGGGATTTATATAAACTATAGACTATATATTATGAACCAATATATGCTGTCTTGAAAAACTTGATATCTTTATGAAAATATACTATAAAAAAGGAGTTGTAAACTCAAATACTTGTAAGGATGAAGGAGGTTACCTAACTAAGTGAAGTACTCAGGTGTGCACAGTAGCAAACTGGAGAATATGTGCCTCCTACACAGGGCAACCTCTGCACAGCAGACTAAGCACTGATGCAGTTCAAGGGACACTAGATTTGATTCTTAAGCCTGAGGTCCAGATTTCTGCATGAGTCTACTAAATTTTACATGTTGACTCAATTTAAAGAGGCAAAGAACAAATCTATGTGCCACATGTAGACTATAACCCTTGTGTTTTTATATTTGCTATGAATGTGTTACTAAATTGTGTATAAACCAAGTATTTGCATGTGGAACTTTTTCCTTCTCTAGTATCATATGTTTAATAAAAAAACTCAGGCCCTGAAATATACATAATAAAAATTGCTGTTAAGACTCATAATACCCACCTCAAGAATTTTCCCAACATTTATTCATTTGCAATCTATGTGTATATCATTTTCCCAGATTGTTAACCAAATAGATAATTAGTTCATAGGACTGCGGAAACTAAATTATTAAAAGAATTTCTATTGTATTCTCACTGACTTCAAGGATTTCAGTGTTTAAAACTGACATCCTGATTATGCCAAAGCTCTATAAACTTAACAGACACACTGAGATAGTCCCTAACACAACTTCAACTGAAAAAAAAAAGGTTCAGGATTTGCTACTAATCTAATTGAGAAAATCTCACTTGTAATGAACATTTGTTGACACATAATCACTAGAATGGTGACAGAGGAACATGAAATTGTGAAAGGGTCAGCCTCTACTTATTGAAAGATTACCCACAAGCAAATTGCTGAAGACTCTCTGAATGGCAGTAAATGATTCATGGTGGGAAGGAAAGGGTGTTATTCTGTAAGCTGAGAGCTGTTGCCAATGATATTTCCTTTCACTTCCCAGTCACAAACGTAGAGAAAGACAGATAAGTCAGGCTAATGTTATTGGAAAGGAGACCTTTGAAGAAAGTAGCACCTATCAAATGCCAACTCTTTTAGAGATTTCTTATGTCTTTGAGATATGGGAATTTATATACTGCACTTATCTATTCTGTGCTTCTTCATCAGGAGTGTATTTGAATGCTGAGGTATTTGTTTTTGCTCTTGTTGTAAGAGACAAGATTTTTGGATTGGCGCCATGTTACAGGAGAATAATTGCACAAGCCTCTTCCTGGCAATGTACAGCCTATTCGTGTAAGATAAAAAAATTAGACTATAGATTCTAAGGGGCAGGCGGATCACGAGGTCAGGAGATCCAGACCATCCTGGCTAACATGGTAAAACCCTGACTCTACTAAAAATACAAAAATCAGCCGGGTATGGTGGTGGGCACCTGTAGTCCCAGCTACTTGGGAGGCTGAGGCAGGAGAATAGTGTAAACCTGGGAGGTGGAGCTTGCATTGAGGGGAGATCATGCCACTGCACTCCAGCCTGGGCAACAAGGTGAGACTCTGTCTCAAAACAAACAAACAAAAATTACTATGTTACTCAGGCTAGACTCAAACTCCTGGGCTGAAGCAATCCTCCCACCTCAGCCTCCTAAGTAGCTGGGACTGCAGGTACATGTCATTGTGTATGACTTCAAGAAAATATTATTAACCATACATGTTCAGAACTTATTAGATCTATTACATCAAAAACATCAGGGGAAAGCCTACACCTGTAGATTTTTAACAAAATTTCCCCAGGTCACTGTAATGCACAATTCTAGCTGAGAATTACTGCAGCAGACAATCACTTCCGTTTCATCTCTCACCCACACGGCCAGTATCCTTTATCAGTTGGGATGTGGCCAGAAAGAGAAGAGTATGAGATAGAGTTTTTTATTAAAACTCCAGTTAATTTTCCTGGGTGTGGGTATAACAGGGACAAGTAAACTCAAAATCCCAGTTGATTTTGCTATTTATAAGTTCCTCATCTCCCACCTTCCCACCAAGATATTCTAGATTTGAGAGTTTAGACTCTTATCTAAGTGACTGTTTTTGCCAGGATGGGTAATAAGTCAGTTACTAATTTGTTCCACCCTTTGCTGAAGTGTTTCTCACCTCATCACCATCTACTCACTGCCAATCTGGTTTCCTCAGAGTCCTCTAAAAATTAATCTTTAGGCAAGTTTCAATCACTCTATTTACCAAACCAAAAACGATTACCCCAAAGCTGAAGAGCACTTTGTCTCAATACATCAACTGGGAAAACAACAAACTGAAAAACAAAACCTCTTCTTGGCATTTTCCCTCATTACCTAATTTCCAAGTGACCTGCATGTTTTTGATTGCTCCCCTTTTCCCTTCCCATTTTTCCCTCTTAAACCTTACCAATGAAAGATACATCCTTTTTTTTAGAAAACTGTCAGCAGCAGCAAGATTTACATTTATTGTAAGTTGCTTTAGTTTTGAGTTTTAAGATAAAACCTGTTTCCAGGGTAATTTTTTTCCTGTGATTTTTAAAATACTAATTAGAAAAAAAAATACACCTGGGGTAGGAAACAAATATTTGAAAAGAAGTTTTACCTTAACAAATTCACAAATATTTCCCATAAGTGCACTAAAAAAGCTGTGCCCTCTAATGCTTCTTTAAAAGTATATTTAAAATAAAATTTTAGACAATTATTTCAAAATATTTTTATTCAGAAATACTTGAGTTCCAAATATGAAAAACTGACTCTTACCTATGTCAATGTTAAAACAAACATTTTGAAAAGAAAGTTGATTGATCTATACCTCATTTAGTGCTTCAATATTTGCACGGTGGGAAAGCAGTTTTTCTGCCAGCGAAGTCCCCTTGTTATACATAGCATAATGGAGAGCAGTGTTGCCGTAGATATCCTTAATGTTTGGATTGGCGCCATGTTCCAGGAGAATAATTGCACAAGCCTCTTCCTGGCAATGTACAGCCTATTCGTGTTAGGTAAAAAATTAGACTATAAATTCTAAGAATTCAAAATACGTATTCCACAGGTTTCACCAACTAGTTATGTTTAAATGAGATAAATTAATTTTAACTCTATGTATTTAAATCAAATTCATTTCATGCTGAAAGAGTTGGCTACTACATACCTTCATTAACGGTGTCCTGTTTAGTCTGTCACAGATGTCGATCTGGCAACTTCTGCTCAGCAAGAGAGTGACCACTTCCACACGGCCATGGGCACAGGCCAAATGTAGAACAGTCCTAGGAGAGTGAGAGGAGGTTTCAGGAAATTGTAGTGCAATATCTCAAAACCTACAATGGTTCATGTAATTGTAAACAATGAATGGCAGTTATTCCTCTGCCTTCAAAACAAATAATTTTCTTTTGAAGAAAGTAGAGTATTTATTAGCTCTTACTGCTCCCTACCTTAATGAAACAGCAGCCTATTTGGATAGAATGAGCTTGGTGCTTGGATTCAGTTCAACTAGGGCTTGAGTTCTACTTTGAACTCGATCACATACCAGCTATTGCTTAACCTTTCTGTGCCTCAATTTCCACATTAATAAAATAAAGATGACAATGGCAGCTAGCTCACAGGACACCATTATGATGCTTAAATGAAAATCTATGTAAAGCATTTAGAACCATTTCCAGAACAAGCAACAACTCAATAACTGTTAGATTTTTGTTTGTTGAGACAGGGTCTTGCCCTGTTGTCCAGGCTGGAGTGCAATGGTGTATTTATGCCTCACTGCAGCCTGAAATTCGTAGGCTCAAGCAATCCTCCTGTCCTAGCCTCCTGAGTAGCTGGGACCACAGGAGCGCACCAGCATAATCAGCAAATTTTTAAAAATTTTGTGTAGAGTAGGAATGTCACTTTGTTGCCCAGTCTGGTCTCAAACTCCTGGCATCATGGGAACTTCCCACCTCAGGCTTCCAAAGTTCTGGAATGACAGGTGTGAGCCACACACCCAGCCAGATGTTATAATTATTACTATTACTACTACTTAACAAAAACATTTTAATTAAGTAAAATGATACAATTATTGCTATTTTGCAGGATGATTTAAAGGTTAGGTCACATTTTAGCATATCTGATATTGGAATGGCATTTATAATTCATAATTTTTTATAATTGGTAGCATTTAAAAAATCATCTTATTAGTATAGAAAATAGTAGGGTATTACACAATCCATGAGGCCTTACATTAAGTAGAATACGGTAAACACAGCAGGTCTAGGGCAGTTCTAGGCATCTAATTGACACTTAAATACATTTTAACTCCTAAAAGTACCATGGGGAACGATCACTGAAGTAACAACATATTTTTTAAACAAATTACTTCTTACTTTGATTTTTAAAAACATGAAGCTAAAGAAAACTAATGATTGAGATGAACAGGTATGGCTCATTTTAGTCAACACTTAGATTTACAGAATATATGCAAATCAGACTTTCCAATTATTAATAATAGAATTTAAGACTGATAAATTTTCAAAAGGGCAGTTAAAGGTTATCTCTTACTGTTTTCTACCTTCAGAAATGCTTTTGCTTGAAAGGTGGGAGGAAAAGCTTCAGTGAGATTAAGTCCTACTATTCCCATTTTAAATCTCTCATCTTGCTCAGGTAGAACAGGTAAACATAAAGGTTTTAAGTATGGAAGGGTCCTGAGAGATAGTGCAAAATGTCTGCTACATAACAGGTTTTCAGGTTATGTTTGATGAATAAATGGATTGATAGAATACAGTTGGGGATCCCAGTATTTTTAAATACAACTTCTATAAACCAATATTTTCGTGATAGTAATAATATTTGCTGTTTGTTATTTTTATAAGACTACAACTATAATGAAATGATTAATCTATCATTGTTTGTATATGCACATATGTAATGAATCTATACATAAGAAAAACATATATACATAAAAAATATACATAAAAATATATACATAATAAAATCTGCAAGCACAGATAAAAAGATTCCCTTTTTATTTCTGAAGCTAAAAGTTCAAACAAGATAACTCTCAATAATAATATAAAACAGTGAGAAATTATTTTTATCTATACAAGATTCATATTTCTCTCTTCCCAAATATTATTCCATTAATAATAAATTTTTACTAGAAGTTTCATAAATGCTCACTTCAGAAATCAAAGGTAAGAAAAAGGAACAAAAGACTTTAAAATACAAATGCTCAGAAGTTACAAATTTTATCCTATTTTGTACATAATTTTGGCTAACACAAGACCATAGTATGTTCGTGTGTATGTGCAAGCAAACTGATTTTTTTTTCCTCACTGGCTATAACAAAATACATCTTCACACATCAACATACTTCTCGACCTACTGCCACCTTCAATGGCCACATATCCATTCTATCGGTTCTTAATATAAATGCTGAGAAAAACAAAGTGCATGTATCTCTATTTCCTAAAGGTATTTTAATGCAATGGAATTGATGGGTAAAGGGCATATACATTTTTAAAATGTGGTAATTATCTCCAAATTACCACTTGAAAAGTCATCAGCAACTTAAACTTCAAGCAGCTGTATAAGTACCACTGCTCTTTATTCCCACAAACATTGTGGATAGAAAACAGTCACATTCCTCTTTCAACTTAAATTCTCTTATGAGAAACACTAAGGATTTTTTCCTATGTACATAAGTAACTTGTGGATCTGCAAAAAAGTACTTTGCTCACTTTTAGAGTTCTTTTCTTGTGGATTTGATTGGAAAGAATTCCCTGTAAAATAAAGATGTGTTTTTTTATCTGTATATATATAACTGATCTATATATATAACATATTATATTAGTAATATATACAATTTGTTATATATATAATCAGTAAATGTTTTATATATAATCATTAAATACCATATTATAAAGAATAAATTCCCTGTAGGATGAAGATACACTTTTCAGTTGAATATATATTTTTATATATTAGTAAAAATATATACAGTAAATTTTTTCAAGTGTGTTATCTTTTGTTAATTTTTTTCTGATACACAGGGGATTTTAATTTTTAGTTTGCTAAATCAACTTTCAGAAAGCCTGCTTGCGAGGTCATTCTTAGGAAGGCCTTTGTTAACATAAAATGTACCTGTATAAATAAATCTTTGTGTTTTGTTCTGGTACTTTTCTCATTTTGCATATGTAAAAATTTCAGTCTAAATTCCATCAGGAACTCATTTTTGTGACATAAAGTTTCATTAGTTTTCTTCACACAGCAGGCATATTATTAATAACATCCTTTCCTACTCATCTGAAAGGTTACCATTATCAATCCCTATGCATGTATCTTGCATATATTTCAGTTTTTGGATTTCCTATTCTGTTCCATTTATTTGTGTTTACAGCTGTTAGTAAATAATTAAATGTGGGAATTAATAGCACATTTTGGTATCTAGAGGAGCAAGTCTTTTCACTCCATTATAAACATTTTTAAAAGTCATCACAATAGTAAGACAGACAGCAAGTGTCATGCACAAATCATAAAACCTCGATATTTTCATTCGGTTTATGTAAAACTGATAAACATATTAAGAGCTCACATTTTGAGAAAACTGAGTCTTCCCATTCAAGGAACCCACGTCCCACTTCCAAGTGTCCCTCTAAGAAGCCGCAGTAAAGAACCTATCTACCTAGGTGGATTCGGATGTGAAACCAACCGACATAGGGTTTTATCTGAGAACTCTTCGCCTACTGAAAATGGCTCCTGGTATTTTTGACATGGGAATGAGTTCTCATTAGGCATCTCCCTATCATGTATATGACCCCATGTTTTAAACGTGTATATGCTTAACTTCGTGAGTTAAATCACTCAAATTCTCCA